TGTTAAGCATCTCAACATGATATGGTTCAAGTTGCCTTGTTCGATATCCAATTAGATGTGGGGACATGAAATGAATTAGGATAAATTTTCCTTGTGATGTGTTTCAAGAGTCAAATCAGAACAGACTCTACTCTCCTAATTAATCTCTGCTGAGTCAGACATATCTACATCTACACTTTTCAAAGATGATAGGTTCTCTCTTCAAAGCTGATATACTCTCTCTTTAAAGATGATATATTCTCTTTTCAAAGATGAAAGCTTTATTGGATTTCTACACAAGTCCAAGCAAAGAAAGTTGGTTTTATCCAAGACAAAATGGGGCATCAAAGTCATAGTTCTGACTACAGCAAGAGTTCCACAAATAAACATTTCTTCTAAGACTTTCATGAAGCAAAGAAGACGCAAAGATACAAGTTGATCAGATGATTCTGCAGAAATGCAAGCTTGATAGCATAGGTTGCTACACTGATATCCAGAGGTAACCATGGCAATAAATGATGAAGTGAATGAAGACCAAGTTCACCACTTTGAAATCAAATGAAGATTGCATCAACATTCATGCATTCATAAGAATATCATTTACACAATAGACAATACATTACATTGATACATCTGAGTGCATTCAAACATGAAGTTTTACAGATCTTCGGAAGAACGAAGAAGGTAAAAAATACCTTACAAGAAGAAAGTATTCAAAACCGCAAATACATGAATCACGCAAACATCTGAAGAAGAGATTGACGCAATCCACAAGAATGAGCATTATCTTGAGATTGGGGCATGTTACCCAATCAACATGTTATTTTGAAAAATAATGAGAAAACGATTTCCATAGTTTCTCATTCAATCTTTAATGAAAATGAAATTGTTGAAAAGTAAGAAAACGATTTCCATAGTATCTTACTTAGTAAATTATTTCCCACATCCATAAGACCTACATTGCAGGATGTTTTCAAATAGCAATTTATCTCACTTGAGATTGTTTTTCTTAAAACAAAATTTATCTTGCTCGAGACAGTTTCACTTGAAACAGAACTTTATCTCACTTGAGATTGTTTTTCTTAAAACAAAATTTGTCTCGCTCGAGACAGTTTCACTCGAAACAGAACTTTATCTCACTTGAGATTGTTTTTCTTAAAACAAAATTTGTCTCGCTTGAGACAGTCTCATTCGAAACAGAAATTTCCATCACTTGATGGATCAACATTGCCAGGTAGAGTTCATAATGAGAAGAACTCATCTGAAGAAGGAAGAATAAATTCATAATGAGAAGAATTTGTTCCAACCTTTTGCTCGAATTCATCACTTGATGGATCAGTATTTCCAGGCCGAGTTCATAATAAGAAGAACTCATCTGAAGAAGGAATAAGAAATTCATAATGAGAAGAATTTGTTCCAACTTTTTGTTTGAATTCATCACTCGATGGATCAACTTTTCCAGAGAAAGTTCATAATGAGAAGAACTCATCTGAAGAAAGAAGAATAAATTCATAATGAGAAGAATTTGTTCCAACCTTTTGTTTGAATTCATCACTCGATGGATCAACTTTTCCAGAGAAAGTTCATAATGAGAAGAACTCATCTGAAGCAATAAGAAGAAGTTCATAATGAGAAGAGCTTGTTCAACCTTTTGCATGACTCTATCACAGAAGGAGATAGATCAACATCAACTTTTCCAGAGAAAGTTCATAATAAGAAGAACTCATCTGAAAAAGAACTTGTTCAACATTTCCATCTTAATCAGGAGAAGTCAATTGAACAAAAATTTATTGTCTTTTCGTCTTTGCTCTATTCTTGTTAACATAAGAATGAGCAAAGAGGGGCAGTTGTAGACACTAAATTTTTGTCCCGATTTTATTTATATTATTATTATTATATTATTATTTATTATATATTTTTATTATTAATATTTTTATTATTACAAACAGGCCCAGATTACACGGCCCAATTACAAATCCCAGAGGCCCAGATCTGGAAGCCCAACCCAAACAGGAGCCCAATTCTAGCCCAACTGAGCTAGCCCAATGGAAACCTTAAACTAAATTAGGGTTTTCAGCTTCTCCAGCCGCCTCAATCTCAGCCGTTGGATCTGGTTTAGATCCAACGGTCCCAGATACTTCTAGATGCAAAACCTAGGGTATGATACCCTAGGGCCACGTCCTAGCCGCCGCTTTTGCTATCTCCACCGCCACCGTTCCACGCCGCTCAGTCTCTGACACGAAGCCTCCAGAAGAAATGAAGAGGATTGTCCATATTGAGGGCTACGGTGAGTCACCACTATAGTTTGGTGACTCACCACAATACAACCCTTTTACCGGGTCTAAGACGAGCGCTGTTGATGGCTATAAAGCCATCAACCGAACCTGCAAAGAGAGGACAGAAAAAAGGCAACCAGGGAACCAACAACACAGCAACAAAAAAAACCAAAGAAAAGACAAAGAAATAAGAAAGAAACTTACCCTTGGAGCCTTGACCATCGCCGGAAGCACTAAATATCGCCGGAGAACAGAAAATACCGAAGGTATTTTCATAGATCTACTCCGATTAGGATTCTTTTTGGGGAAACAAAGGTCGGACTCGACCTTGGGGAAATTAGGGCTGTATTTTAGTGTAAGAAAAATTTCCCGGCCACCGGCCACCGAAGGCGTGGCCGGCGGTCAGCGGCGGTAGACTGTCGACTGATGGCCGGCCTCCGGTTGGAGGAATCTAGAGAGAGGCGGCCTTCCCCGTTTGGGTATTTATACCCGATACAAAACGACGTCGTTTCATGATGAAACAGTGCGTTTTGGGAAGAGGGTAAACCCTGTCCGCAGTGCTCCAAGTTTATAATCATTACAACTTAGTCACTGAAATTGATTTCTGATTATTTTAGTTTAGTCTTCTAATTTTATTTTATTTTAATTTAGTCCTTATCAGCATATATATATATATTTAGGGTAAATATCAAATTTAGTCCCTCATAGTTTAGTAATTATTATTTTAATCCCGTATTATGAATTATGGTTAAATTACACTTTTAATGCCCATCTTTATATATTTCGATTTAGGACTCTAGTTTTATAATTTAACATTTTAATCATTAAATTTTCATTTTTGACTATTTATTTTTAATATTTTACATTTTAATACTATATTTTTAATTCCTTTTATTTTAATCATTATTTGCAATATTATTATTATTATTGCTTTAATTATTATTTCATTATTATTATTATTTATATAAATATATATATATATATAATATTTGTTTATTTATTCTATTTGTTTTCTATTAAAATCCTATATTTCATAAATTACTTTTAATAATCATATTTTAACATATATTTATTTTTCAATATTAAGAAAATGACTGTCTTAAAACACCTAGAAGTTCGTTTTCTGATATTTTTACTAAATATCCTATTTTTATAAATCCTATATTAACTTTTAATAAATGTTTTATTTATTTCTATATCAAAGAAAAAAGCTATCTTAAAGCACCTAGAAGCCCTTTTCGAAAATTTCTAAATAAATAAATATCTTATTTATATTAATATATTTTCATAAAATCATAAATTTGAAATAAAAAATATTATAAGTTAAATATGTATTTGAATTTTTAAATTTCTAATGATAGAGACAATTTATAATTAAAAAGTACTAATTTTGGGCGTTATAGGAGTGTTAATTCTTCCCTAAACGTAACCGACCGCGAATCCATTTTTATTATTAAAAAGAACGAATTTTTGGTTAAAACGCAGATCAATTTATCTTTTAATTGATGTTTTCTTAAAAACTCTTTTAAATGATGATTTTTAGATATTTGACCTACCTGACCCAAAAGGCCGATGGCGACCCAAATTATTTTAAAAACCATTTATTCATATCACTTTTCCCGCCAAATAAAAAAATTCGTGCCCGGACAAAAACCGATTACGACATGCACAAGAGCTTTTATGCACAACAACTTTCCAATTTGATCAACAGAAGCAATGTCCCATCGAGTTAAAGGATTTATCTTTTGACATTGTCAGAAAGTGTGGAGGTTTGCCACTCGCAATTGTAGCCATAGGTGGGCTTCTTTCAACCACAGGCAGGGATGTCTTACAGTGGGAAAGGCTGCGCGATGGCCTCAGTGCACAACTGGCGAGCAATCCCCATCTGACATATGTCAAAAAGATTCTATCCTTCAGCTATCTTGATTTGCCCCATTATCTGAAATCCTGTCTCTTGTATATAGGCGTGTTTCCAAGTAGTTATCACATTCTAAGCAAGAGACTGATTCGGTTATGGATCGCTGAGGGTCTTGTAAAAGAAAAGCAACAAGTGACATTGGAAGAAACAGCAAAAGAATACTTAACTATGCTCATTAACAGAAACTTAAATCAAGTTGAATGGAGGGACTTCACCAGGAGAGTTAGAACATGTCGAGTCCATGATTTGATCCACGAACTTCTTCTTTCCAAATTAGAAGAACTGAATTTGATTCAATCCTCGCAGGTAAGTTGCAATGGAACAGCTAGATACCTCTGGATCGACAATGGAGCAGGTGATTTGTCAAGGGGAAATGGTAACTTCGAAACTCATGCTATCATCTTTTCCAGTTTAAGAGTGTTACCTAAATCTCTATTTGAGAATCTGTCCTTAAATTTCAAACTTTTGAGAGAACTGGACCTTGAAGGAGCTCCATTGGAGTGCCTACCCGAGGAGATAGGGAATCTGTTGCATTTGAGATATCTAAGCTTAAGGAATTCAAAAATAAAGATTCTTCCCAAGTCCATAGGAAAATTGCATAACCTCTTAACTTTGGATTTGAAAGGTTCTTTGGTGCGTGAGTTGCCCGATGAGATAAAAGGCCTGTGTAATTTGCAATATCTTGTAGCTTACACGATTGATCTTGATAGTCGTTACAATATCAACACCTACCAAGGTGTAAGAATCAATGGCAGTGTCGTCGGGAGTTTAGAGTCGCTAGAAAAGCTTCATTATGTCATCTTCCAACACCAAAATAGCGGTGGTTTTGGAAGTGCATTAGGGAGGCTAAAGCGATTGACGAAGCTGGGAATCACTAAACTAGAACCAGACTGCGGGAAAGCTTTGTGTGATGCAATAGAGAAGATGCACAACCTTCATTCACTGCGTATTTCGGCAGTGGAAGAGGGTGAAGTTCTTCAACTACAATCGATGTCTTCTCCTCCACTTCTCCTTGAACGTCTTCGCCTGCACGGACGACTAGGGAAGCTACCAGACTGGCTTCCTAAACTGAAGAACCTTGTTAAAATCGGTTTGGAGTGGTCTAAAATATCAGATGATTCGCTTAAAATCCTAGGGGGTTTGCCAAAGCTACAGGAGTTCCGGTTTCATGAAGCTTACGATGGAGTTGAATTGCGATATGAACAAGGACAGTTCTTAAAACTGAAGATGCTTCAACTTGCTTGTTTGTACCGGTTAAAGAAACTGGTCATAGAAAACGGAGCTTTACCTTGCTTGGAGATTCTTAAACTAGGGCCATGTCCACAGTTGCCGGAGGTTCCCGACAACCTTCCCAATTTGGGATGCCTTAAAGTTCTAGAATTAGTGGATATGCCCAAGGAGTTCGCACGTAAGATATTGCCAAGTGAAGGGTCAGATTATTGGAAAGTGAAGCAAATCGCAGATGTTCGTTTTCATTATTATTATGGTCAAGGGTCACATGTTGAAACCTACAAGCTCGGTGATTCTCGCCTGCATCAACTTTTGCATCCATCTTAGAACCTTAAAGCAAATGCAGAGCCTTGTGGCCCCAAAAGGAGGTGTGGAAGGGAATCATGCAGATTAAATGATTTTTTGTGTGCCGTTGGTTTGGATTATGATGCTGTATAAGTTGTTGTGCAGAGGTTTCTTTGATATGTTTTGTGGAAGGTTGCTTATGTATAGTTTGCTTTTGGTTGTAAGTTGCCATTCTGTTGCGGTGCTTGGCTTGTATATTTGTAGCAGATCACTACCTCTTGGATAATAAAATTCATCATTCATCCAAAAAAGATAATAAAGGTAACCTCTATTTTGCCGTAAATTTTTCGTTTTTCATTTTAAAATCCTGATTTTACTCTTTATTTCATTGTCCTCCCCCCCCCCCCCCTTTAATTCAATTCAGCTAGCTGGGTCAGCTTGCATCCTATCATGTTTTGCAATTTTATTCACTACGTGTTAGGATCATGAGTTAGCTTGAAAACCCTTTTTTGCTTTACCTATATATTTTCATCCATTTTGTTTTTTTTAATGCTTATTATGATGATTAGAATTTGATGGGTATCCTTTTCATTGATTCTAATGGATAATTTATTTCTTTCCATTCTAAAGAGAATAGATTTAGTGTTGATGCTTTGAGTTTTGGGTACGGTTTGGCTGCATTTTTTTATTTTAAATTTATTCGTTGTCAGTGTTTGCAGTTTCCTCGGAGTAGAAACTTGCTTTAGGGTAATCCTTGTTTATGAATCCATGTTAATAAGAAGTTTTGTTTGAATCAGTTCTTCGGGACTCATGATGTTCTTACTCTGGATTCGTAATCGTGCTTTGGTTTAATCGAATATAACTATCGTATAGTTTGTAGGGATGTATATTAATAATCACTTTCTGTAATTGCAGTAAGGAAGACGACGAGTACAACAGGCGAGAAAGGGTCAACGACTAGGAAAACACCTGCAGATTTCCTTAAATCGATTCGTGGTCGACCGGTGGTTGTGAAACTGAACTCCGGGGTTGATTATAGAGGTTGGTCTCTCATCATCTACTCTTTTCACGGTATGATTGTTTCATCTATATGTGCTTCTGTAGTTCTGTTCCTTTTTTTCTATTAGATTTGCATTGACAGCTTGTTTCAGTGTTTACACCATCAAGTCTCTCCCTTTCACTTTCATGCATATGTAGAGCTTCGCTCAAACTCTCGGAAAGGAAAATTAGTACCGGTTATTTTCTCATAAACACCATGGTTTTACACTTCTCATGCTGATGGTCTCATGTTTTTGAGAGACCGTGGAAAGGTCATGTCCCTATGTCCATGTCTCGGTATGTGTAGGCCATAACGTTAACCGATACGGCCTCTCAAAATTTCCTTCCGTCTTTCCTAGATTTTTACATCCTTAATATCCCTCCCTCATTTGCCAGGTATTCTAGCTTGCCTTGACGGGTATATGAACATAGCCATGGAGCAAACGGAAGAATTTGTCAATGGCCAGCTGAAGAACAAATTCGGCGACACTTTTATTCGAGGGAATAATGGTAATTATTCTTAGATAACCTTGGTATTTAACAGCTTCCTTAATCTTTTTGTTATTTATGCATTTTTTTGCTGACAATGATGGTGAGTTTCATTCCATTTATGCAGCACTTTACATAAGCACATCGAAGAGGACATTAGCAGATGGGGCTTAGCATTGCGACTGCATCAAGTAGCTAAATCTACAGATCCTTGCTTTTGTTATCGATATATTTATAGGATTTGAGGATTTTAGACATTTGAATGAAACATTGAGAGTTGTTCTGTTTGTTAAATCTACAAATCCTTTACTGTTCTAAGTTTGTAATGTTTTATTATTGTTATTATCATTTGAGGCAACTCGTTTACTTTTTGCCCTTTTGACTGTTCTCTACAATGCCAATCCCACTGCAACTATGGATGAGTATTTTACATGAACTCGATGGGTTTTGATTCGATGGATACTATAGGGTCGGTTTCGTTTTTGAAAATTCAAGTTTAAATTAGGTTGAGAATTTTCTGAAGGATGAGGTTGGGTTCAAGATGAAAAATCTTACTTAAGATAATATCATAATCTTCCTTTATAGATTTTGGGATAATTTAATTAGAATAGATTATGGTAAGTTTATGATGAAAAATCTTATTTTAAGGTCGAATTTATGGTGAAAAATCTTACTTTAACGAGTTTATGGTGAAAAATCTTACTTAAGATAATATCATAAAATAGGAAATCTAATTGGAATAGATTCGTCATTATATAAATTTTTTTGTAATTAAATAATTATTTTTATAAACAAATAACAAGGTTTATGGATATTCAAAATAATAATAATAAGGTTTATGGTAAGAATTAAGTTATGGAAGATTTTTAAGCAGTTCAGAATCATCTTTTTGTAATATCTGAATAAATTATGGTTTTCGGTTGGAATTGTTCTTAGAATTTTCATTGTAACTATTTTACTTTTTAGGTTAAAATACACAAATGGTCCCCCGACTATAGGATACAGTTTTATTATGTCCTTTGACTATTAGAAGTTACAAAATGATCATCCGATTATAGAGTGTTGCTTTGTTAGTCCCTTGATAATTAGAAGTTATAAAATGATCACCTCACTATTTATTATATTCTAAACTCGTCATTTTCCGTTAAAAAAGAACAGTATTTTGAGCGGAATATTAACCGTTGACTATGATATAATAAAATTTGATCCTAAAATGTCAAATGACTATCATATCCAATCATCATGTTGACATCCAGCTTGAACAACCACAATTTTTTAACGAAAAATGACAAGTTTGGAAACATAGTTAATAGTCAGGTGACCATTTTATAACTTTTATTAGTCAAGGGACATAACAAAACAACATTCTATAGTTAGAGGACTATTTTGTAACTTTTAATAGTTAAAGGGTTTAATAAAATAATACTCTATAGTCAGGGGGTCATTTGTGTATTTTACCCTGCTTTTTTATTATGCGATAACGTATATTTCTTGTTATCATCTAGTCATAACTAATGGATAGTTAGATGGAAAATGATGTGCTAACAAGGTGGCATGAGTTGACTCATGACTTAGCGTGGGGCGCAAGTCATAGTCTCGATTTCTTAGCTACTTGTATCCCCACTTGAAAGCGCAATGGTATATATAATTCCGACAATGAAATTGTTTTATTGTATCAAAATATATGCAGAAAAACCAAGTCAATGAACAGCTCAGAAGCTAATTCGAATCTCGGAGATGAAGAACATGAAAATTCGACTGCGATAGATCAAACCCTTACTTTGGAAGCCAATAATAGGCCTAAAAGAATTGTTCACCGGTTCTATTTCGTCAAGTTTTGGCCGTATAAAGACACTGATGAAGCATCAAAGGTTGCAACATCCGAGCAGCTGATTGAAAACTTGGATCAGAAGTTAAGTAAAATGGACCAGGAATTCAAACTTTTAAAGGCATGTTTTATGTTTTTGTTTTTCTTAAAGTATTCGTGTTTGATATTCATATTCCGAACTTTTCTTATTCTGTTGTGGTGGAATTTGTGGACAGTTGAAATGGATAGATACACACTCACAACTCGATCGTCTATGCCGTCGAGAATCAACAATTTCAAGTAGATTGGACTGGCTAAAGGAGACGTCAGATCATCTGCAAATTGCTTTGGATAAGCATGACTCAGCCATTCTTCCACATAAACACAAAAGAAGATCAAATCATACTCAAGTAAGTTGCTCTCTAAAATCCGCTTTAGCCCTACTTTTAAAAGTTATTTGGATTCGAGTGCGAGTGCAGTATAATGTACGTGTTGGGCACAAGTCTGTACTCATATCTTGATATGCATCAAACAAGGTTATTAAGATCATTCGGGCTTTGATCACTTCAGGTCGTTGACTTTTTATGATCATATTGGATTTGAATATTGTTCAAATCAAAATTTTCAAGTTCGGGTTTGGATTATTAAGTGATTCAATAATGCTTGCAGGGCTATCAAAGCTGGCTTTCACATGGAAGTAGTAATTTGGTCATGGAAAGGAAGCTCATAAAGGCGATGGCTAGAAGCCAACACAGACTCAATGATCTTGACCTAGAAGAAGATGTAAGACAATGATAATGAATAATTTATTCAAGTTTTAGTGTCTTGGACTAATTCTTCTTCTTAATTAATTAATGGATTAATTATTTAATGATACGTATGGCAGATTAGGTGTTATACTTGGGGAAACATAGATAAACCCGGTTATATCAAGATGCTTGAAAAGTCTAAACACATTGAAGACAGACCAGAGAAAGCTCTGGCTGATGAGAATGCCAACGTTTTCAACCCCTTAGGTGTTAAAAATGCCATGGAGAAACAAATCAAAGTAAATCCCTATTCGAATCCTATGGTTTCATTCATACTCGCTGATATATATCGAACGTAGATATGTGTCCGACATGAATATTCTCTATCGTTTTATGTTTTAACATATTGTAGTGTGCCTAGATTGTTTACAAAATGTCACTGGAACTAAGAGAGGAGCAGCGTGAAGTGAAAGCGGCAGTCAAACGATTAGAGAAACAACTTAGGCCTATGAAAGACGAGGCTTTTGTTTACCGTACTCGGCGATTGGAGATGTCGAAGAGGAAGGAAGCAGCCCAACATTGCATTTTGAAATTGAGGCAAACGTCTACTGAAATGGTAACAAGTATTTTACCCTAATTAGTTCCTTATATCCCTACAATAGTTTCGATTATATCTCAGGTTTAGAGTTTAGGGTTTACACATGAAGGCACGTTTGACAACATGTTTATGTACATGGTTATCATGTATATATTGATTTAGAATGGCAAGTATGATGAATATGCATCATTGTTGAGCAATGCCAGAGAGCTTTCCAGGAACAAAGATATTGCTGCACTAAGGGAACTCTCACATCACCAGGTTTTATTTACCAATTTTTTTTTATAGTTTTAATGAATTTGATTCCATAGTTTAAAGATAATTTATAACTATTTCTGCTATTTGTTGTTTAGGTCGAAGAATTCATGTCGGAGTGGAATCAACCGTATGTTAAAACTTTCCGAGTTAATTACGAAGCTAGTATCTTAGATTCACTTCGTAATCGTCAAATGTGTGACGACGGACGGATTGAATTCTGGAACGATGATCTAGAAACAGTATTCGATATATGTTGTTTGGATTTCTGATGAGTGTTAGTATAAATACGTATGTCGTAATATGTGACATGTACCTTATATTATACCCTAGTTCATAGGGATGGATAGAGAGGTACTAGGGGAGACCAACCCCTTGAAAATTAAAATCAATATGATTAAAGGAATCCTTGTAGTTTACCCTAAACAAAAACCCTTGTGGTTCCTGATATGATTAAACGAATCCTCACCAAATTAGTTAATCAAATTAATAGCTTTGACTATCTGATGTATATTTTAGCATTCCAAAACAATTCATGTTCTTTGCCCATAATTCTCTCTCACACGCTCTCTCTATATTATCATTGACAAAGATAGAAAAAAACAAGGGTAAACTACGCATTTAGTACCTAAATCATCAATTTTGGTTCGTTTTAGTACCTAAACTTTCAATTTTTTAAAATCATATTTGAAGTTTAGTTTTTGTTCCATTTTAGTGCCCGTCATTAAAAATTTAACGCATTTAGAACCTAAACTATCAATTTTAATCTGTTTTGGTACCTAAACTTTCACTTTTTCCAAAAAGTTAACATGCAAATTTGAACATATGTACTGAAATGAAACAAAAATTAAACTTTAGGTATGATTTTAAAAAAAATTGAATGTTCAGGTACTAAAACAAATCAGAACTAATAATTTAGGTACTAAACATGTAAATTACCCAAAAATAATAAGGCATGGTAACTTTTTTGGCCCTCAAACTTTATTAGTTTAGTCATTTTAGTCAAAAAAAAAATTTCAGATTAGTCCAAATATGAGGGAACTATAACGAACTGTCAAGCTGAAGTCAGTTGTTTTATCATTACTGAAATGTTAACTTCAACTATTTAGTCATTTTCTTCTATTTCATCAAAAATATTAAAAATTATGAAAAAAAACTGGTGGGCAAGAAATATTTAGTCATTTTTGGGTTAATTTAATAAAAAAAATAGAAACTTAAGGGTTAAAATGACCAAACCAAGAAAGTTGGTGGGCCAAAAAGTCGTTCCACCAAATAATAATGTAGTGAGAAGGTGGTGGCTAAAGAGTTGACTTATTATTGGCGTGGGGTGCAAGTGCTTTCGGGTTTTAATTAAAACCTTCACACCTATTCTCAATTCAATCATATATATATGCAGTGTCATATACAATTTTGAGAATGAAATTGTTTAACTGCATCAAAACAATAAGCAGGAACATCATGGCAATGGATGACTCGGAAGTCGGAGACGAAGAACACGGAAATGTGATTTCCGATCGAGTTCGTTGTTCTAAAAAGATTCATCGATTCTATTTCGTCAAGTTTTGGCCATATAAGGACCCTGATGAAGCATCCAAAATTGCAGAAGCAGAGCAGCTGATTGAAAACTTGGACCAAAAGTTAAATCAAATGCGCCGAGAATACAAACTTACAACGGTATGCATGCATGTAATGACATTAAATCTTTATCATATCTATATTCAACACATATTCGAACATGAGTGAGGAAATTGTGGACAGTTAAAATGGATCAATACACGTTCACGAATCAGTCATCTAGACAATCGGAAATCAAGCATTTCATATGGATTGGAGTGGCAAACAAGGATGTTGTTGGATCACCTGCAACTTCAGTTGGATAAGCTTAACTTAGCCAGCAAGATTCCTCATAAACACAAAGGACAACCAAAACACACTCAAGTAAGTTTCTCGTTGCTAGGATTCAGACTTGAGTGCCGGATATTTGGATGATTATATCACTGTACTCATATCTTGACATGCATCCGACACGGATATGCAGGGCTTTCGAAGCTGGATTCCACATGGAAGTAGTAATTTGGCTATAGAGAGGAAGCTCATAAAAGAGGTGATCAGAAGCCAACACAGAGTCATGAATGATCTTGATTTAAGAAGCAGCTCGTTACAAGAACAATTTAAAGAGTTTGTAAGATAATAATCATAATAATTTATTAATGTTGTTTTTTAAAATTCTTAATTAATTTTATTTTACTGATGGCTATGGCAGACTAGTTGGCTTAGTTGGGGGAATATAGATAAGCCCAGGTATACCCAGATTCTTGAAAAGCTCAAACAAATTGAAGAGAAGAAAGAGAAAGCTTTGGCTGATTCTGCTAAAGAAGCCAATATTTTCATCCTCTCAACTCTGAGAAATGCCATCGAGGAGCAAATCGAAGTAAATCCCTACTTAAATCCTATGTTTCCGTGTTATATGCGCGTTTTCGACATACGTATTCCCGATCATTTTAACTATATATATGTTGACGTATCTAGATTGTTAAGAAAATGTCACTGGAACTAAGACTCAAGCAACAGGAGGTGGAATCGGAGATGGAGCGTTTATCGAAAGAAATTGATCCTTGGGAAGAAAAGGATTTTGATTACAAGTACGACACTCAGCATTGGGAGATGTTGAAGCAAAAGGAAGCAGCCCAACGTTGCATTCTTAGACTGAGGCAAACATTTGATGAAATGGTACCAAGCTAAGTTTCGGATTTTAAGAATATATATATGATAATATGGACCAATCGAGTTAAGTTCCGGATTTTACATCGTAATGTTTTTATTTCCGTGGTTATCTGTTGATTCAGAAAGGCATGTATGATGAAAATGTTGCACTGTTGAGCAATGCCAGAGAGCTTGCAAGGAACAAAGATATTGCCTCATTAAGGCAACTTTCACATCACCAGGTTGAAGAATTCATGTCGGAGTGGAATCATCCTTATGTTAAGTCCTTCAGAGTTAATTACGAGTTTAATATCTTAGACTCGCTACTTAGCCGAGGACTAAGTCTCGATGGACGGCTTGAATTCCAAGACGACAATCAAGAAACACTCCGATACATCGCGGATGGATCTAATATATGTAAACACGGATAAACAAAGACTCTGATGTGCAAGACATTAATGGTGATCTTGACAATTCTAAATTAAGAAAGCTAAACTGTTCCATTTTCAGCCTCTGTTATTGATACGAGGCATTAACCATTCTGATAAAACTACATGGTAATGCCATATGCATATATTACATTAAAGATATCACAATAAACCCGACCTCCGAGAACGGTCCAGCTGCATTTTTTGCTTCAATAACTTTGCTAACCAATAGTTTCCACTTAGTCTCGTCTTTCTTTCATTGCTGCTGAATTTTCTCCTTAAAATGCCTATGAAACAGGTAAAGGAGATGATCAAATCACCGAATCGGATGTTCAATTCATTTTGTCATTGTTGACATTCACTATAATGATCAATCACCAGAATCAAGGGTTGCTTACCTGCAAAGAGGAACCTTGCAAGAATCCGGTTCATTGCAGATGCGGGAATGCAGTTAACTTGGTTTCCTTTCAGCACTTTGTCACGAGGACCGATAGTTCGACAACCATCCTTGCAAATGTGAAGGAGAGCCTCCATTGCCTCTTGTAATTACAAGTAGACCTTTTTCTCTTCTATTTTCCTCTGCCTCTCTTGCTTTCTCTAAGGAAAACAAAGCAATAAGTAAAGCCGATGGTTTTTAAAACAAGCCATCTACTACCATACAAGCGTAAACCGAGAAGGGTTCAACTTACAGAATCGGCTTCAACAACGGACTCTACAAGTTCTTGCTCGAGAGCCGGATTTAGCACGTTTTATTACTTTCCACCCTTCAGTCGATGATACAGACTTGATTAGTAATAGCAATGGTTAATCTCATTGAATTATACAATATACAAAGTAATTGCAACTATTGATGGATTCCCTATCCCTACTTAATATATAATCATATTCCCTTCCAGGGGCGGATGTATGTGGCTCCGATTTTGGGAAAAGTGTTAAATTTAGTTTAATTTATTAATGAAAATAGAAAAAAAAATTGCATACCCAAATTTTTTAGAATATGAGCATTAAAATTTTGGACGCATTTTTTAATTTCTAGATTTGCCACTGTTCCATACCCTACTTAATCTGCTAGAGAAATAGAATAGATAGATAACATACTGATTTACGAATCATTGCCATTTGGACGGGGTTGTTCTTGATGCGGGCAAGGGCTTCTTGCTCGCGCTGGCGAATCATAAGCAAGGGATCCGAATGGAGCTTGCGCCAGGCATCATTGGCCGAGTGAGGTTTGTGCTCGAACAAGGCACTCGGGGTAGAAGACTGGTTGGCTGAAGAATCCGTAGCCTTACACGACGGGAGAGCCTTAAAACCTGCACCGCTGCCTCCAGCTGCGGGGCTACTGGCGCCTTACCCAACTGCAAGCCAGAATCGTAAAAGAAATCCAACCTCTCATGCTTCCTGCAGAATTTAATGAAAAAATGAAATCAACCTAAAATCCTAACCCTAAATTCGAAAGATAAAAAGGGGCAAACCCAGGAAATAGACGCACGGACAAGGCCAGCTTGTTCCTGGAGAAGACAAAACTCAGAGCGTTCCCTCTCCTCATGAATCTGCTTGCGAAGCTCTTCCAATTTCTTCTGCTCAGCATCATGCTTTTGTTCCGCTTTCCACACGTTTTCGATGTTCCTCAAACTTCCAGTATGCCATCCTTTCTTGTTCAGAAACTTCAACGCCATTCTCTTTTCAGATTCGGAATGCTGAAATCAGCCAAATCAATTACCCGCTCCTCGAATACGCCTAATTTAAATCTCCTATAATCAGATCCTGTATAAGATTGAAGAAAGTTGAACGTAACCCTAGAAAATAACAAGTAGAACAAATGTACAATTAACCCTAAAATCATTGGAAAGAAATTGAACTGTAAATCTGAGAGAGGAAACAACATACCCAATCGAAGCCGTCGAAGGGAGAATTATGGAAACAAATTGGATAGGTAAAGAAATTTGCAGGAATCACAATCGAATTTAAACTTGGACTATCCACCCAACTTGCTCGGGTCAGGCCAATTCATGCTCATTCGGCCCAACTCCTACACCTATTTTAACAATAAAATTATATTTTTTATTAAAGTTTAATTACATAATTATATATAAGGTGTTACATGAAAACAATTACGACTATAATTAAAATAATACAAATAAATTTAATCTGATAAAATATTTTTAAACAAGAGTTTAATAATTTTATTTGATATTTTAGGGATTATAAGATAATATATGTTCAGAATTTTTCTTAATCATTAATAATATGCATTCAACTAACACAATCGTTTAATTTTTTTTTTGATAAATAATCTCCATTTCAAATCTTAAAGAATAGAGCTACAGCTGCAACGGTACACCAATCAGAAACAGAACAGCCATAAACAAGGAGCCCACTACCCCCAAACATAATAACAAAAGAAACATACCAAAGAGAATCATAAAACAACATCAAAACAGTCAGGACTCTCACGCTAATTTCCAGTCTGCACAAAGTTGCAAATTCACGTTATCATGTTTATCCATGCAGCAACCCAAACCTAGAGCACACAGTGTCTTTAATTTTTCCATACATAACCTCCAATAATCGTTCAATTCCCCTAAAGAATATGAAATTATGCTCTTCCCATGTACAATACAATAAACTAAAGCAATCTTCAAAATACACACGATTAAAGATTTATCTTTCAAATTACAAACCCCTCAGCCTACAAGGCAACCTGCATGTCTGCATAATTTTGTCCCAAACCCTGCAAGTACAAGAGCATACACCAAAAATATGATTCCTAGACTCCTCTACACAAATTTTATCCATAACAATACCCATGCGGGTAAGTCTATTCTTCATAGGGAACCTGTTAAGAATGGTCATCCAAGACGCAATGAAGAACTTAAGCACATACAAAGAAAATCAAATTACTAAAGTATAATGATATTTTTTATTACTAAAGTATAAATCAATTACTGAATATTATACGAGTTAAAAGCATATATCATGTTGAAATGGTTAGCAGTTGTACATAATATATACATATGCTAATATTCAGTCACAATCTATACTAATGGATGTCAATTCCCCAAACGTTTATCCTCCAAAAGATACAAAGCAACCTTTTCCACTACCATTTTCATCTCCTAAACCATGAAACCCGAATTACTTGGCTCCCGGTATCAATTCGACACTATATCGGACAGCTGGCAGATTCTCAAAAGCGGAGAACATCGGCAACTACCTTCCCATTGACCGCACAATCTACGACGCTTTCCTTACATGGGCTCTTGATGTCGCCAAGTAATTCAGCATCATTGGAGCCGTTTTTTATGCTGGTATGTGCTGCGAATTACTTATTTTACAATGCTCACATGGGCTTTTAAGTCCTCAGGTTTTGTCTTCGGCAGTGCCGATAGCCATTCCAGGTTTGCCGTCAAAGAAATGGATGTTAAGGCCTTGATAGCTAACCGGATGGAACTCGAATCAGGATGCGGACGGTGACGATAGACAGACCAAAGTCCAAACCACGGTTGGTAAGCAGTGCTGGATGTATGTACATCCTGCCCACTCTAGAATTCAAATTTATTATTTTAATATATGTGTCCAACTTAAAAACTAATTATGGATGTGTCACTGTCGGTAAACTGGTCGAAGATGTTTGGCAGGTCGGGTTAGAGTTAAGGTCGAGGAGGATGGAAATGTGAGCCGAGATGAGATAGAGGGATGTCAAACCAGAACCACAAAGGCAGTGCAATGAAATGGACCGATTATAAAAATGTCAACAACATTTAGAAATTTATAAAAATTAAAAAATATTTTTTCCAAATTATATAATTTAGAAAATCTAAAAATTTGATAGACTTATAAAAAGAACTCCTTAATAATCTTAAAATATTTTTGAAAACTCCGGTATTATAATTTTTAAAAATGTATATAATTTTCAAATATTAAAGGTTGAGCTCAGTAACGGAACTAGGAATTATTATAGCGGAGTTAAAATATTTTTATTTTTTATAAATATAATTTTTTAATTGAGGGGACCGAGTAAATTTTTCTTTATTTATTTTTCAATATATATATATATATATATATATATATATATTTAATATTAATTAATATTTGAAAAAATAATTGACATGGGCCCATAATGTTCTTCCACTACGTTCAATATCAAATAATTAAAAATATTTTGAACATATGTTATCTCATACTTACCCTAGATTAATTAAAAAATAATAAAATTTAAAATTTAATAAATCAAATTAGTCGGATAATAAATCAAATACAAAAATGATATTTGTATTTAACTTCAAATATAGACAAATTCATGTATACCTGCATATTAAATTGTTTGAATGCATGGCCAGAATAAGATCAAACAAATATCATATAAATAGACCAAACGATATAATGCATTGTTGTTTTGTGTACAAGGTTGACGTATGGTATTTTTATCCGATTCCAATTTCGTCATTGGGAATGATCTAAAAGTATGGTACATATAATACCTATACATCGTTTTTAACAAACGTAAATTTTTTTTAAAAAAAAAAATTAATATCATAATACGAGAGTTAACGATAGAATTTAAATGTACGAATCAATTTACTTTAGTTATTAAAAAATTTATTGTTGTTTTTAAGGATCACGAGTTTGAGCATGAGTGACTACAACAAAGTGATTGAACATTTATTATCAAATGATTGAAAGAATTTAGACCATATGTTATTTTATAATCACCTTAGCATAGATTTATAAAAATATTGAACAAACTAAATGCATTTTTAAGATTATATTATATATTATTCATTGCTTCCTTCATAAATATATGACTCCAATATCGTTGAATATCTTAAGAGGGGGGAAAATGGAGAAAAAAGATACAAACAGAGTCCATGTATTGGCCATTCCTTACCCAAGCCAAGGCCACATTAACCCAATGCACCAATTCTCCAAACGCTTATCCTCCAAAGGACTCAAAGCAACATTTGTCACCACCATCTTCATCTCCCAAATCATGAAACCCGAGTTAACCGGCTCCGACATCGATTTCGACAGAATACCGGACGGCTGCGATGAATGCGGATTCTCAGAAGCCAAGAGCGTCGACAATTACCTCGTACGGTTGCAAGATGCCGGGTCGAGAATGCTAACTGAACTCACCGTAAAATACAGAAACTCACCCCATCCTATCGATTGAATAATCTACGACGTTTTCCTTTCGTGGGCTCTCGATGTTGCCAAGCAGTTTTGCATCATCGGGGCTGCTTTTTTCATGCATGCATGTGGCGTGGATTACATATATTACTATGCTCACTGTGGGCTTTTGAGTCTTCCGGTTCCGTCATCTGCAGTGCCAATCACCATCCCCAGTTTGCCATTTCTTGAGCTTCGAGACATGCCATCGTTCACCTACGTCGTTGGCTCGTATTCATCTTATTTTGAGATGGTGTTGATTCAATTCTCAAATGTAGTCCAAGCTGACTTCATTCTAGTTAACACCTTTTACAAGTTGGAACAAGATGTTAGTTTAATCGCATTAACTATATAGTATGAATATTTAATCAAACCGAGCCGAGTTCACTTTATCAAAAAAAGTTGAGCTCAAGTTAAAATTTGGGGCGTAAAGCTCTGCTCGAACTCAAGTACTCAACTGAGTTTCAGTTTTAATGTTGAGCCAAACCGATGATGACGTTTTATTTTCTATGAACTGGCATTGTACTTCTTAGGCTTATCGTAAGCAAATATGTCAGCAAATATATTGACTCGATGTTGAAAGTGATGACTCCACCATTGTTAACGATCGGACCGATAATCCCCTCCATGTATTTAGATCAAAGATCGGAAAGGACAAAAATTATGACCTTAATCTCTTCAAACTATACTCCACTAGTACTCATTGGTTGACCTCCAAGGCACCTAGATCGGTTGTTTACGTCTCGTTTGGCAGCATGGTCAACCTATCCATTGACCTAGGGTTTAAAGCAAACGAGGTTTGATTTCTTGTGGGTTATTCGATCATCGGAGATGGCCAAAGTCCCGGACTGGTTTGCCAAAGAAATGGGTGATAAATCCTTGATAGCTAACTGGATTCCCCAAACCAAAGTGCTACCACATGAGGTCGCGGGGTACCTTTTCACGCATTGTGGATGGAACTCGACGATCGAAGCTTTGTGTTTGGGTGTGTCGATGGTGTCAATGCCACAATGGACCGACCAAACCACCGATGCTAAGTTGGTTGAGGATGTATGGAAGATTGGGGTTTGAGTTACAGTTGGAGAGGATGGCATTGTGAGCCGAGATGGAATTTTGGGTTGCATTAGATAGGTTATGAAAGAAAATGCTCTGAAATGGAATGAATTGACAGTTGAAGTAGTGTGTGAAGGTGGAAGTTCAGACAAGAACACTGATGTATTTGTTATTGAAAATTCAATATTAGCTTAAATAAGTTCACACCTAAATTAATTTGATGCCATTTCTTACATCAATTTAGTTTTGATGTCATTGTTTACATCAATTTAGTTAAGTGAAAATTAAGTATTTTTCTCATATTTTAATTTCAATGGTTTAGATTATTTAGTGATTATTTTAATGAGTGATTTAGATTGTTTCTTGTAACCTATAAATACCCTACTTGTATTTGAGTTTTATCATCCAACAATCAAAGCTTAATTATAAGCATTTGAAAGCTTTCTTAAGAGTTCTTCCCTTTTATAATTTTGTGAGATTATTCTAAAGAGAGTTTTTCTTCTTCTCAATCAATTAGAGTTTTTACTCTATTTTGATTCTATATCAGAGCCATATTTTTAAGGTATCTAGAAATTTTAAGTATGCTCTGTGGCTGCAGTTTTAACTGATCTTCCACATCAGAAAAGATTTCTTGAGATTATTGTCGAGTTTATTACAAACCTTGTGGAGCTTCTTTGTGTTTAAAGTAATTTAGTACTCTACACGTTTGTTACTCAAGCTTGTTCGATGTAGTCAAAGCCTAGCCATTAAGATGGGTGATCTTCAAGTAGTTGGAGGAATCAAGAAGCTCAACAACAAAAACTACAACACGTGGGCAACATGTATGGAGTCATACTTACAAGGTCAAGACCTTTGAGAGGTTGTCGGTGGTGGTGAAGTTATATAACCGACGGCAGAAGATGCCAATGGCATCTTGCGAAAGTGGAAAATAAAGCAGGCAAAGTAATGTTTGCTTTAAAGACCACAATTGAAGAAGAAATGTTGGAGCACATCCGGGATGCTAAAACACCAAAGGAAACATGTGACACTTTTATTACACTCTTTTCGAAGAGGAACGATACAAAATTGCAACTTCTCGAGAATGAACTTCTATCAATGGTGCAACGCGACATGGCGGTTGCCTAATACTTTCACAAGGTGAAGTCGATATACCGCGAAATTTCATAATTAGATCCGACAGCTGTTATTGGGGAAGCCAGGATAAAAAGAATAATTGTCCATGGTTTGAAACCCGAATATCGAGGGTTTGTTGTGGTTATACAGGGATGGCCGACACAACCATCATTTGTTGAGTTCGAAAATTTTCTTGCAGGTCAAGAAGTCATGGCCAAACAAATGGGAGGAGTCTCGTTGAAGGGTTAAGAGGAAGCATTCTAAACCAAAAGCATAGGCACTTTTCAGCGGTATACTGGCAGTGGATCTAAAATGGATGGTGACAAGGTGAAAAATTACCAAGAAAAGGAAGGCCCTCATTCAGGGGGAGCATCCAAGAATCGAGGTAATAGTAGAAAGTTCGATGGCAAGTGTTACAACTACGGGAAGATGGGTCACATGGAAAAATACTGTTGGACCAAGAAAAAACCTGTTGAAAGTAATACTGCTACTTCCAATTCAAAGGAGAATAGTGAAGACGGTTGGGATGCTGAAGCGCTATTTGCTAAGGAATAAGAAGAATTAGCTCTCATGGTAACAACACCAGAACGAATTGACTACAAGAATGATTGGATCATAGATTCTGGCTGCTCAAATTATATGACGGGTGACAAAAAGAAGTTGCAAAACCTGTCTGAGCATAATGGAGGTCGTGTGGTGGTGACAACTGACAACTCAAGGTTATCGATAACTCACATCGGTAAGACGATAGTTATGCCTCGATATAATACTAACCAGGTGCAACTTCAAGATGTTTACCATGTCCCAGGAATGAAGAAAAATTTGCTATATGTGGCTCAACTAACATCATCAGGCTATTATGTCTTATTTGGTCCCCAAGACGTAAAGGTTTATCGTGACGTTAAAATCTCAGAAACACCAACAATAGAGGGACGACGTTTGGAGTCAATTTACGTGATGTCAGCAGAGTCTGCATATGTAGACAGGACAAGAAAAAATGAGACATCAGATCTATGGCACATGCGGTTAGGTCACGTTAGCTATTTCAAGCTAAGTGTGATGGTGAAGAAGTCGATGCTTAAGGGACTTCCTCAACTAGACGTGAGAACAGACACAGACTATGCGGAATGCCAGTATGGTAAAGCACACTAATTACCATATGACGAGTCAAAGTTTAAAGCAAAAGAACCGTTGGAGTTTGTTCACTCTGATGTGTTCGGACCAATTAAGCAATAATCAATTAGCGGTATGCGGTACATGGCAACATTCATTGATAACTTTTCCAGGTATGTGTGGGTTTTCTTTATGAAAGAAAAATATGACACATTCTCAAAGTTTAAAGAGTTTAGAGACTCGCTGAAGGAGAAGTGTGAAAGAAGATATGTTGCTTGCGCACAGATAACAGAGGAGAATATAGATCAAACGAGTTCTCTCAATACCTAAGGGAGTGTTGAATACGTCATCGGTACACTTGTGCCAACACGCCACAACAGAATGGTGTAGCATAAAGAAAAAACCGGCATATTGCAGAAATTTGTCAAAGTATACTACATGCAAAGAACATACCTGGAAGGTTTTGGGCTGAAGCAATGAGGACTGCAACCTTTATGATTAACATACTTCCTCAACCAAGGTTAGGATTTGTTTCACCTTTTGAGAAACTATGGAACATAAAACCTACAGTTAGCTACTTTCGAGTATTTGGCTGTGTATGTTATGTGTTTGTTCCTGTTCATTTACAGAGCAAATTTGATAAGAAAGTTGTTAAATGTATCTTTGTGGGATACGACAGCCAGAGAAAGGGTTGGAATTATTGTGATCCAATTAGTGGAAGATGTTACACGTCACGAAATATGGTATTTGATGAAGCATCTTCTTGGTGGTCCTCGGAGAAGGAGGTGTTGCCAGATTCGAGAGAATTTGGAGACAATCTATAACAAAATATGGGGGAGCATGTTGCTCAACTCCAAACAAGTTCAGATGAATCAGAAGATCCAAATGGCGATGATGTCGAATGAAGAGTGACTCAGAATCCTTGGCAAACTGGCGTGTATCAACAACCAAACGAAGAAGGTGGGCCTAGTGTCGTAAATGTCTTTCGGTTGGTCCCGAAATTGGGTTTCGACTTGAAAATGTGGATTGGAGTCACCACCGACCATTTTAAAACGAATTTAGGTGGGTCGGACACCATCTTACCTGATCTGTGTTGTACCAGAAACCTGTCGGGTTCGGGAATCGGTTACGGTCAAGGAAGGATTAGCACCCTTGAACCGCCCTTTCGGTACCAATGAATTTATCGGTTGTCTTAATTGCGAAAAATTAAAAAAAATTAAAATATTCAATTCGAATTGCTTACCTTTGATCCATTGGAATTACTATTAAAAAAATATGTTAGAAAAAAAATATGAAAAAAATAAGAAAGGAAAAATGTTAATATAATAATAATAATAAATATTAAAAACAAAAAAAAATAAATAAGTAAAAAAGATCAAAATACAAACAATTAAAATAACAGTGGCTAAATTAAAACATGCGTAAATTTCTAGGCCATTTTCTAATAAATCATAAATTAGTGACTAAAATAAAGTATGCATAAAATTGGAAATTAAAATAAGAAATACTGAAAATAAACTACAGTGACCAAAATATAAAAGGTACAGCTTACAGGGACCGGGGATGAGATTTACCCATAATATTTAAGGACCAAAGGGAGAGTTTATCCCCAAAGTCCACTTCACGTGGATTTGTTTCATTTCACGCAACATTAAAGCCAAACTAATGGCTTTTCTAGTTTATCAAAGTGCTTAGACGAAAGAAACCAAAGGGAAAGTTAATGAGCTTCTTGCACTGCGACGCCGCTTCCACGTGGATTTCTAGTTTATCAAACTAATGAATTTTTCCTCGCTCACAATTGCGCTTCTAATATTTGAAGAATCAGGAGCTATCGACGCCGCTTCAAAGGCTTGAATATGAGATTTCATCGTGTTGGCAACAATCAGCGTTTCATCAAGATCGAAAATAATTGCGAGACACCTTAAGTTCAACATCCCTAAGCAGGAATTGTACAATCCCGTAGGAACAGATAAGCACCAAAAGCACGAAAACTTCTTTTGTTTACTCGGTATTACCACTAAATGAACATCCTCATCTCAACCGAAACCGCAGCTGTCTTGAATTCATAAAAGCAAGAGGCGTGAAGATGAATCAAATGTGGTTGTTCGACTGGAGAAGATGATTCGAGCTTTCAACAAAGGGAGAATGAGGAAATGGTACGGAGAACGGAAAGAGGAATGCATCTTTCGCTGGTAAGGGAGGTGTGGTGAATTCCCGAAAAACCCCCCAATCCCTCTGGTTTTCTTTTTGCTCTCATTTCATGAAAATCCCCCTTCTTTCCTCTGGGTTTTTTTTCCTCCCTTTTTCCTTCCATTCTCTGTGTATTTATAGTGCTAATTCGGTTTTAGACTCCCGTTAGGACTAAAACTCTTGCTTTGCTTGTGGCGAGGATTCCAGTGACGTGGAGGGAGACGTTAGGCGAGAGGAGTCTTCGGGTTGACCGTGGAACTCGGCTGGCAGTTCCCCCTTGCACGTTGGCTGCGGTGCTGAAGATGTAGAAGACTAGGGTTTTTGCTGGGCCATTGTGTACAGGGCCTTGGAGTTTAAACTCATTTGTAGTATTGAACCTGAAAAATAAAATAGCAAATGAATAATAATATATAATGATATAATATAATAACATGTATATAAAATATAAAGTCGGACGAAAATGCATGTCGACACCTAGTGAAACAGAAGAATCAATTCCACAATCTCAACTCCAAGGTCAACAAGAATACGAATGCCAAATCTCAAATATGCCAATGCATCCATAATTGAAGAAGTAACAGAGCCTGAGACGTTCGAAGAAG